CAAGAGTTTTCTTTTCATGAAATTTGAATAGAAGGCATATGCGTTTTATCTGAATAGAAAGCATATGCGTTACATTCAAAGTGTCGCTCTATTCGAAGTAAAGGATCTAACTTTCCAAAAACCGTTTCTTTTTGGAAAAGTGGAAAACTCGAATGCATCACATGTGCGTTATGTTTGGGGAAAATGGTAGTTTGTGGACAGACCAGGTGCAGAGCTCATTCAAGAGTGTAATGCAATGACACATTTGAAAATGAGGAGACCTGTCCGAGAGTCACATTGCAGAAAAAAAAGAAAGATTGGAGAGTGGCATGCTGAGGCGCTTTCAAGTTGTTTACATTTTGAAATCCAATGTATGTTATACGGAGTTGATCTGTACCAACTGATTAGGATGATCGTCAGATTTCCTACAAAGACCTAGACATACCTCAGTGTCGGAGAGTGCTCTGGAAAATGTTCAAATTCGAGGGAACAAACACTCAGTCACCCATCAGTCTAACTGGCTTCATGCTCAGAAGGGAATGCCAAATGTTTTTTGTGTCATATGGGCACTGTATATTATTTTGAAAAATTAGATGGGAAGTAAAAATTGGAGATTGGTGCACAAATGTTCTCTGCCTATTTATTCTAAATTGAACCAGAAGCTGATTAGTGCAAAAGGTGCCATTCACAAAAGGAAGTGAAATTAGGTTTTCCCATCTGATTCTGACTGGCAGATGTTACAGCGAAGGCCTAGACATCCAGGTCATGGTAGGGAGAGTGGATGGTCACTGTCTCAACTAGGGACCCGATGCAGGAGTATTCCTCTTATTAGCCCCTGCATCAGGCCCATACGCAATGTTAAAAAAGAAAAAAACTCGAAAAGAATCCACTCAGCCGAGACCTCGCCCCAGGGCCCGTGGCCCACTTGAGGACTTCTGGTTCTGGTTCCAAGTATCCATGGATCCCTGGCATATGATCTCAAAATCTCTCGGCCACGGTGTGACTACGTTGCAAAATACTCGACAACAGAACTAAGCGGGGCGCGGCCCCAGGAGTCAAGTCCCACTTGCTGGATTTTCATTTGGGCCTGTCGTTCTCTGCAATCTTCAGTCAGAAATGAAGGATCCGAACACTTGGCCCACTAGCGGGGGTTCTGCTTAGAATCCGAGTACAATGTGACATGAGTGAAATACTATCACCATTGGATCTACCAGATCTGACACCCAGACATAGGGGGCTTGTAATAATTTAATAAAATGTTAATGTTAAAGAAAATAATAAAAAAGAAAAGAATAGCCTCGGGCCCAGCCTCGCAGATTTTTTTTCATCACCTGCTTTGAAAATCGCACCCCGGGCCTACTGGACCACATTAGCTGGCGGTGCCAGCCCCCTGCAAAAGAAAGTCTGCTGCTGGGGGTTTGGCAAAGCTTGGCGCGCAGTGGAGCGCCTCTAGGGGCCTGTGTAGCGGTGGTTTAAACCATCAGTACTTGGCCCATATGTCGCCCGCGGGGCGTTGTCGTTAACGCCCTGCAAGTTTCGGAGGCCCGGGGTACCGGACCTGAAAGGCTGACACCGCCAGCCAAAACAATTTTTATTGTTTCACTGGCGGGTCGGCGCGAAAGGGCGCGCAGGGCATATTCAGGCTCGACATCGATAGCTGGGCCAAGTACTGGTGGTTTAACACTGGCAATGTCCGCACAATCCTTTTCCTTCCCAAATGCCCAAGGTCCTTGTTTCTAGCCTTGGAAGCAGTACGCTAGAAACGGGGAAGCCCTTTTCTTCCTTCTGCTGACGATGTCTCTGAAGAACTCTGTGGATGGTCTGTTAGTTGTCAGATACAACTGTCACGTCTCTCTTTGCCATTTCTTTCTTCTTTTTTTTGGGGGGGGAGTCTCTCTTTGCCTTTTCTCTCTCCTCACAATTGATATAGCAGATCTTTTCAGGCAGTCCACAAATCCAACGGCTGCAGATAAGAGCTGGCTTTTTCTTTTGGGTGGCCTGAATGTCACACAAATCCAAAACTAAACTACCCCTGCTATTGGAACTTGGTCCCAGGTGCGTGATGCCTGGAGATGAGATACGCTCAGTCTGGGCAAGTGCAACCTCCTTATCTCTGTTTCCCATTAGGTGACTACGGCGGTGCATTTTTCCCTTGTGAACCACTTCTTTACTGCGTTCTTTTTTTCTCTGTCTCAAACTCCATCAACAAAAGATCACAACTTTTCCATTTCTTCCGTTATTCATCTCCCTGCCCTATATACACCTCTCCCTAGCCCATCGGGTGGTAGGTTTGCACCACAGCGCTGGTACAGTACAGCAGAGATATGGAGTAACTGGGAGGCTTGGCAAAGGCGGGTGGATTGGGTCCGTGAGGGACAAAACCCAATTGTTTTGGGGGGAAAAAAGCCCTTCCAAAAACTGGTGATGGACCTAGAGACAAAGAGAAAGAGAAAAAAGATCGACATACACAGTGCATGCACTGGGAGCACTCAGAATAAAACGAACAGAGAGACAACAATGAAACCTTATAGGGAAAACTACGTGGGAGTCACAAAAATGAGTTATAATTGCAGTATGGGCCAAGATACAGTTTCAAATTGCAGTTTGGGCAATGTATAGCTTCCTGGCCAGGTAGGGTGCCGGAAGTGCAATTGCAAACTGTATTTTGGCCCATAGTCCAATTATAACTCGTTTTTGTGAGCCTACTGAAGTTACCCCAACCTGCTACTGGGGGATCTGCAGGGCTCTCTGCGAAGTACGACATACGCTACATGCTCAAACACACACAAAAGATGGTGTATCATACAGGGATGCTGGGCCCGGTCTCCAGCAGGTGCCGCTCCCCAACAATAGATGGAGCCTGCAACACCTGGGACCACTTAAAGAGACTGCTCTTATCACCTGGTTAAGTGACCCCCCAGGAATGGAAGTTTTCTCGGGAAAAAAAAAGAAAAAAAAGGAGGCACTGCAGGGAAGATCCTGCAGGTATCGCACCTGGCTGCTATAATACTATAATGAAAATAAAAAAGGGCGTCCTGTCCAGATTCCACAGGTATTTGAATTCATTGGGCTTAAAAAAAAAAAAAAAAAAAAAAAAAAAAAAAAAAAAAAAAAAAAAAAAAGATGGACCAAACGACCACCTCCTGCGGAAAAGGGGGCTGGCGTCCCACGGCCTCCTGCGGCAAGGTCCCACTTGAATGCAAGTGGGACATACCAGGTAGCCCTAGAATGCAACTTTTTTTTTCCTTTCTTTTTTCAAATTTTCAAATACACACAATATTTGATTCCATTCATATTGTTCCATTCGAGCTCAGGTCTGTTGATCTTCACTGCAACTTTCGTGCCTTAGAAAATGAGAGAGATGCCTTACAGACTGAGATATAGGGCCTCCCTCCAGCGCTCACCACATCCACAAAAGACAAAAAATATGGCTGTGTATCTTTCCATTTTCTAGGCGAGAATTCGTTCTCATTTTGCACATTCAGTGAGTAGCGGAGCGAGGCCCATAGGCCCAACAGGACGATTTCTGGACTGGATTTCTACGTGGCCACTTCCCTGTGGGACACTGGGAAGATTCGCTGGAGAAAAATCCTATGCCCAGCGATTTTTCCCCGCTTGCGCTGCAGCTTGTCAGTTTTTTTTTTTTTTTCCCTTTTTTTTTAATAAAGGGCGACAGCCTTGAGATATCCTAGTTGAACTGACCGGCCCCAGGTAATTCAGAATGACTTTATTCAGGTCATCTTCTTCGATCGGGATCGAACTCTGGTCTGTATTTCAACAGTTCGTGGGTGTACCAACTCAGCTATGCCCCCATTGGTTAGCTTGGGCTAGGTCCCACTTACACGAATTAAGCGATATTGACCGTAGATAGCAAAGATCAACGGCCAAAATCTCTTAATCCGTGCAAGTGGGACCTTGCCGCTTGTCGGTTTCCGCGAGGACGTTGGGTGATTTGCGCGCGGGAATAAATTTCGACTGTAAGGAAGTCGCTGCATCCCGCCCGTCGATCTGTCTAATCTACGGCCAGAGACTGGGCAATTTCGATTGGGCGAAAGATTTGGTGCGGGATTGCTTTAGCGCCTAGTCGCACAACTCGCCATCCGCCAACAGTTTGAACTCACCTGAACAAATATCAGTCTAGGTGCGGCCGAAATGTTGGCGGATGGTGAGTAGTGCAACTGGTGGCTTAGAGAGAAGAGCGGCGTTCGTGAGGATCCTCCTTTTCGCGGCAGGCAGGAGAATCCTACAGGGCCTCGTCGCACTACTCGCCATTAGCCAACATTTTGATTGCATGTGGACACCATTTTGTCCAGATGCATTTGAAATCTTGGCGGATCGCGAGTTGTGCAACTACCAGTAGGGCGTGAAAGGAGTGTGGAGGGTGGAGTTGCTGAGTTGGCAGCGCCACACGGCGATCGGCGGGCGGCGGGTGACCAGTGACTGGCGGTGGCCGGCGGTGAATTTCTGGAGCCCAACCCGGGGCTAGGTCCCACTCGCGCGAATTATGCCATATCGACCGTCGATACCGAGGATCAACGGCCACAATCTCCTAATTTGCGCAAGTGAGACCTTGCCCCCGCCTCGCACGAAGATCCGGCAAAAAAATTGGCGCCCAAAGAGAAAAACCGAGACAAAAGGGCAAAAAATATTTCACCCTCAGCTGCGGTGAACTGGCGGGACAAGCCAAAGGGCCCGGCGGGGGTTCCACTACCATACGGGGGCAAGGTCCCACTTGCGCAAATTAGGAGATTTCGGCCGTTGATCTTTGGTATCTACGGTCAGTATCTCTTAATTCGTGCAAGTGGGACCTAGCCCCCGCGTAGCCGCCAGTCGGCAATTGGCCAAGGTGAGGAAATTGGCGCCCAAAAAATCCATCCAGACGAAGGCAAAAAAAAAAAAATTCACCCTTAGCTGCGGTGAACTTGCGGGACAAGCCAAAGGGCCCGGCGGGGGGGTTCCAGTACCATAGCCCCCGCGTAGCCGCCAGTCGGCAATTGGCCAAGGTGAGGACGCGGCAGGGACCGATCGTCGTGGAGGCGTTTTGGTGTTTTTCGGCGCCCCCGGCCCTCTCCCGCACCCCGTCCTTTCCGCCTTTTGCGCACGCGCGGGCAATCCGCAACGGACACGTGGCGCGCGACGGAAAACCTGTTGCAGCCGAAGAGGGGAGGTGAGTGTTATGAGTGCGTGCTCTTGTGATACCGGTATCATCATCTTCCACCTTCTGAAGGCAAACTCGAACGAGCATTTTCATGGATGTACCTGATTGCGACCATGACCAGATTCCGATGAGGACGTTGGTAGTGTACGTATTGTTCTTAGTAGTCGTACTCTTCTACTCTATACGTCGTGTTTCGATCAAAAACCAGGTTAGCTCCCTCTCTCTCTCTCTCTCTCTCTCTCTCTCTTTCCCTCCCTCTCTCTCTCTCTCTCTCTCTCTCTCTTTCCCTCCCTCTCTCTCTCTCTCTCTCTCTCTCTCTTCTTTTCTCTCTCTCGCCTCCTCCCTGCCTGCTTCCTTTTCTATTCTCTGGTTCTCTCTTGGTTCCCCTTGGGCGTATTCAGACTAGGATCTCTCTCTCTCTCTCTCTCTGTGTCTCTCTCTCTCTCTCTCTGTCTCTCTCTCTCTCTCTCTCCCTCTTTCTGCCCGCTTCCTTTTCTTTTCTCTGGTTTTCTCTTGGTCACGTTCGGGCGTATTCAGACAAGGACTTTTTGGGCTAATCTTTGGACGTAATTGCGGTCAGGTGCATGTAGGATCAGTCCTGATTTCGGTCAGATACGTGCAGGAAATCTCTAGAGTTTGAGAATGTTGTGCCTGTGACTCTCCTCTCCCCATCTCCTCGTTTCCCTCTTGACATCTCTCCTCTGCTTTTCTTCCTTCTTCCTAGTGTCTGCTTCTCTTCTTCTTCATTTCTCCGTTATGCTCCTCCCTCTTTGTCCTTTTTTGATCTTCGTCTTTCTCGTCTTTCCTCTTGGAAACCGCCATCTCCCTCTCCTCCTCTTTCTCCCTGGCCATCTCCCTTTCCTCTGTTTTGTCGTCTTGCCTGCCCTAGTCATCTTGGTCCTCCCACATCCTAATAACTGCTTCACTCCATCCCTCATGCTCTCCTCGCTCCGTTCAATTCTCTCTCTTTCTTGTTGACCCGGCAATTGCCTTTCTCTCTCTTTCTATTATGTCCTTTCCTAATGGAGAAAAAAAAAACGTGTTCTATCCTCTTGATCGTCCTTCGTCATTTTCTTTCAATTGTTTTTCTTTCTGTTTCTGTCGCTCCCGTTCTACCAGCTCCTCTTTCCCCATGTTCTCTCTTCTTTTCTCTTCGCTTTTTCTCCCTCTTTCTCCCTCTTTCTCCCTCTTTCTCCCTCTTTCTTTGTCTCTACCACTTTATTCTTCTTTCGTTCGTTCTTGCTGTCGGTTTGCCTCTCTTCTCCTCGTCTCTCTTCTGTCCTTAGCTTTATTACTCTCTCTCTTTTCGTTTCTTGTTTACTCCATTTCCCTCTTTCGCACTCTCTTCTTACTCCTGCCCTTGCTTATTTTATTTTTTTATTTTAATAATCTCGACCATTTCTCGATTCATGCGTGTCATTCTTGCGCAGGGCCCGTGCTTATCCTCTCTCTCTCTCTCTATATCATTCCAATCCTTTTAACGGATGTCCCAAAGGGCCTTCCTTGTTTTCTTCACTACATTTTTCCTCTTTTTTACTCTCTTTTGACACCCCTTAGCTTTTCTTGTTTTCTTTCTTTTCCTCCCTGTTGTGTCCCTATTTCTTTCTCTCTTTTTTCGTTATTCTTTGCCTCTATGTTTGGCTCTGTCTCTCTTTTTTCCTCCTCTCCCTTTGACTGCCTATAAGAGTTCGTCTCGCTGTTGGACACAGGCTAAGATCTCCCCTCTCTCCTTCTGTTCCACTCGCCTCTCTTCTCTGCTTGTTTTTTAATCGTTCTGTGTACTCGTCGTCTTTCTTGCTCTCTTGTATTTCTATCTATCAATTAAATTAACGTCTGCTTTCTCATCGCAATCAATGCCTGGATGCGCATGCTATCCTCTTATGGGTGGAGCAGGATCTGAACCTGCGGCCATTAGTTGGGGTCTGTGGTCACGCCACGTGGAATAGCTTTCTAACGTCCGCAAAAAAACACTGATCAGTATGATTCTTGTATCAAATAAATTATATCGTCTGCTTTCTCATCGCAATCAAGGCCCCGATGAGCATGCCATACTTTTATGGGTGTAGCAGGAGTTGAACCTGCGACCAATATAGGTGGGGTCTGTGGTCACGCCACCGAGCACAACTCGCTAGCGTCAGCAAAAAAACACACTAATCACCTAGGCTACCAGCCGGGCCGCCCGGGTCACCCTATTTTCCCGGGCGGCCCGGCGGTGCAAGGACCAGGGAAGGTCCCAGCCAAAAAAAAAAAAAAAAAAAAACAAGAATCCAGAAAATCCGAAAAAAACCTATGTTATGCAGAAAAATACACTGAACAACTTTTGCCTCAGGGTCACATCGAAATTCGTTACCACATTTAAAATAAAATTTTAAATTAAGAAAAATATAGCCTCCTGATGAGTCGGTGAAACTCCGACGAAACAGTTTGTTACAGCCCCTCATTTGTTGTCCTCTTCTCTCTCTCTGCCTACGATTTACCGGGCAGTTCTATTTGTGACGATATATATACATCCACGTGGGCGGCCTTGTACGCAAGAGGTTCTGAACAGGGGGAGTTATGAGGAAGAAGATAAAAAATTGAATTCAATTTTCCCTGGTTTTCTTTTCTTCTTTTTTTCCTTTTTTTTTCGCATTTGCGCTCTGATATTTTTGTGACAATATATGATATATATATTTGTTTCTTTTTTGCCCGGCCGGGCAAGTGGACCCGGGCCACTCTGGTACCCTAGCATAGTAATCACTGTAATCAGTATGATTTTCTTGTCGGAAGAAGAAGAGTTAGAGGTGCATGCTAACGAGCGTCAGTTGGACTCTGGTCATGCCACGTGGCATCACGTGCGCTAACGTCGTCAACAGTATTAGTTGTACGAAGAATATGTTGGACTACCGTCTTTCCCCGAACACAACGCACCCTCATGTTGGCTGTACCTGACCGGAAGTATAGTTTGTATACACACTCAGGGTGCGTTATGTTCGGGGAAGATGGTAGGTGCATTCCAACCTACCAACACTCGCCCATCAACAATAGATCGGGGTGACCGACCACCTGTGCCTCTGTGTTTGTGTGTGTTAGAAATGTGGTGCTTCGAAGCTGAATCGAAGGATAAACCCCCAACCGAGCACTAAATGAGTTTCTGATGTACTCGCTCACTCCGCCCATCAATATACTGAATCAAACGAGAAACCTTCTATCAAAGGAGAAACTTCCTCCCTTCTATCAAAGGAGAAACTTCCTCCCTTCTTTCAAAGGAGAAACTTCCTCCCTTCTATCAAAGGAGAAGCTTCCTCATATCAAAAGAATAAACTTCCTCGTATCAAAGAATAAACATCCTCGTAGCAAAGGAGAAACCTCCTCCTCTTCTATCAAACGAGAAACTTCCTCGTATCAAAGGAGAAACTTCCTCTTCTATCAAACGAGAAACTTCCTCTTCTATCAAAGGAGAAACTTCCTCTTCTATCAAAGGAGAAACTACCTCGTATCAAAGGAGAAACTTCCTCGTATCAAAAGAGGAACTTCCTCGTATCAAAGGGGAAACTTCGTCTTCTTCGATGAAAGAGAACTTCGTCGTGTCAAAGGGGAAACTTCGTCGTATCAACGGGGAAACTTCGTCGTATTGAAGGGGAAAAACCTCCTTCGATCACAGGAGAAACCTCCTACAGGCACAACATGGTTATGAGTGTGTGAGACCATCTCTCCTCTTGTCAACCGTATGATTAAGTGCGAGGCCTTTTTTTTTCTTTTTTGGCAATTCAATTCGGCAAACGGTTATCACTACCCAGTTGTGAACTCCTTGATGGGAGGTTTACAGACGGATGGCGCAAGGCGAAGAAACCAGATGCAGAGAGACAGAGATGTATCTGGAATGATCAAGTAAGGGAAAAAAAAGAAAATCGGTTCGCGATGTTACGCGGGGGTTTCCTTCCGGTGACAAGCTGCCTTTGATCGGAGTTTGTCTTAAAAAAAAAAGAGAAGGTTATGTGGTCTGTGAATTGCCAGTTCTTGTTTGTTAGAAATCGGACACGACAAGGATCTTGTCGTCGCTAGATCGAGGCGAAAAGTTTCACTCCGTTATCCTCTCTGAGACGGGGGGGTCAAGGGGGAGGTGGCGGAGGGAGTGTCTGTGGGCGTTGGTGTGTGTGGTGTGTGGAGAGAGAGAGAGAGAGAGAGAGAGAGAGAGAGAGAGAGAGAGAGAGAGAGAGAGAGAGAGAGAGAGAGAGAG